GATGCTGATGGATATGTAGTCAATGTCACTAGTGACACAGACACTGTGCAGACAGTACAAGTGGAGGGAAGTAGTAATAATACAATCACACTAAATGGACTAAGAAGAGGAAAAACTTACGGCATCATAGTCAGAGCCTATCAACAGTTATTAGGACCTGCTAGCAGTACAATCAGTACCTTCACTCATTGTCAACAAGAAGGTATTTTGATTTTGATATAAATCATGTTAAAAGTAATTATATTGATTTTACAGGTATCTTTTTAGTGTATAATGAAAAATGTTACATTAATGGATCATATTTTTGGGATACTAGTGTCAATGCAGCTACTGAAGCTATATCATGTGTGTTACCTGGTACTAGTCTAACTACTGGTCAGTGGGTTAGAGTTGCTGATCCTGATGATCCTGTTGACTGTAACAGTAATAGTCCCAGTGATCCTTTTCGTTGTACTAATGTCACTTCACCTGCAGCTACTATCAATCTTTATCTTGCTCAGGGTTTACCAGCAGCTCAAGAAGGCTGGTACAAATGTTGTCTACCCACTGATTGTTCAGATCCTAATAGTGACATCATCTTTGCTAATATATTCAGTAAGAGGAGAGTTTAATCCACTTATTAGTGTAGTAATGTAATAATTTTCATTTGTAGGATATGCAGAGATAGAATCATTTACTGTTGCTGATCTTCCTTCTGATATGACAGTATATCCTCAGGAATTCAAACTGAATTGTACTAAAATTGGACACTATGGGTATGGCATTAGTATGGGCATTGGTAGTACTGCACTGGCTAGTTACACTGACTGTTATGATGATGGTACTGATAATTGTCCTGGTACTGAGCTAGATAGCTTTACCAATAGAATAAGATATACTGTTGATATCACATGGGATGGAACGACTGTCAGTAGTGGATCAATCAGTCAATCAACCACTGGAGATCAAATGTACCAGTGTGTAGTGGATAATCCTAGTGGTGGTGATGATAGAACTTGTACTTTAACCATAAAAGGTAGTGATATTTCTATGTACATGCATGTATGCCTCCCTTTATGTAGTACCAGCAACTGCTCCCTCTTCTCTTACTGAGGTCAACAAGACAGCTACCACTATTACTGTCAGTTGGACTGCACTTGATTCATCTGATGCTGATGGATATGTAGTCAATGTCACTAGTGACACAGACACTGTGCAGACAGTACAGGTGGAGGGAAGTAGTAATAATACAATCACCGTAAATGGGCTAAGAAGAGGAAAAACTTATAGTATTACAGTCAGAGCCTATCAGCAGTTATTGGGACCTGCTAGTAGTGCAATCAGTGTTTTCACTCATTGTCAACAAGAAGGTATTTTGATTTTGATATAAATCATGCTGAAAGCAATTATGTTGATTTTACAGGTATCTATTTCATGTATAATAAAAAATGTTACATTAATGGATCATATTTTTGGGACACCAGTGTCAATGCAGTTACTGAAGCTATATCATGTGTGTTACCTGGTACTAGTCTAACTACTGGTCAGTGGGTTAGAGTTGCTGATCCTGATGATCCTGTTGACTGTAACAGTAATAGTGCCAGTGATCCTTTTCGTTGTACTAATGTCATTTCACCTGCTACTCTCAATCTTTATCTTGCTCAGGGGCTACCAGCAGCTCAAGAAGGCTGGTACAAGTGTTGTCTACCCACTGATTGTTCAGATCATAGCACTAAAATTATTTTTGCTAATGTATTCAGTAAGAGGAATCACTTACTACTGATGTAATAATTTTTAATTGTAGGATATGCAGAGATAGAATCATTTACTATTGCTGATCTTTCTCCTGATATGACAGTATATCCTCAGGAATACAAACTGAATTGTACTAAAATTGGACACTATGGGTATGGTATTAGTATGAGCATTGGTAGTACTGCACTGGCTAGTCACACTAACTGTTATGATGATGGTACTGATAATTGTCCTGGTACTGAGTTAGATAGCTTTACCAATAGAATAAGATATACTGTTGATATCACATGGGATGGAACGACTGTCAGTAGTGGATCAATCAGTCAATCAACCACTGGAGATCAAATGTACCAGTGTGTACTGGATAATCCTAGTGGTGCTGATAGAACACGTACTTTAACCATAAAAGGTAATGTTATTTCTATAGTAATTATGTACATGCATGTATACCTCCCTTTGTATAGTACCAGCAACTGCTCCCTCTTCTCTTACTGAGGTCAACAAGACAACTACCACTATCACTGTCAGTTGGACTGCACTTGATTCATCTGATGCTGATGGATATGTAGTTAATGTCACTAGCGACACAGACACTGTGCAGACAGTACAGGTGGAGGGAAGTAGTAATAATACAATCACACTGAATGGACTGAGAGAACTAATAACTTATAGCATCACAGTCAGAGCCTATCAGCAACTACTAGGACCTG